GTAATCTGTATTGAATCAATTATGATTACTAATTATAACGTTACATTAAATTCCGTTAATTGTCCATAATGACTCCATTATGAAATGAGAAAAACGTATTTCTTAGAAATAGCTATAAAAGGTGAGGAATATACATTTGTAAGAACACGAAATACTATTGAAATATATTGATTTACTTTGCTTTTTATTCAGTCATTATTTACATCAATTATTTCTATTTCCATTTGATTATAAGTAACCCGAGTTCTTCTAAAATTGAGCTTTGACCGAATTCCCTATTTTTGGTTAAACAGACTTTAGATCTGTCACGACCCAGATTTTCTACCCTCGGGAGTAGTGATGGCGCCTACTAATGTGAGCTAGGCAAGACGACTGTTTGAACAAATTACCTTTTTACCAATTTATATTCTTTAACAATTGTAACGCAATAACGTGTAGACAGCGAAAATTACAATAGGCGGAAGAAATGCAGTAAACTATCTGAAATATGTATCTAATACAACTGTTTGAGCTTCGGCCACCCAGAACTGGTGTCACAGTTTTACTGACGATCTAGGAATACTACATACAAAGTCTAAAAGATAAAAGATTCATTGTTTCTGAACTAAGTAAATGAAACAGGAGTAAAGGGATAGAGAGAGACGCTAGGGCCTGCGGATGCCTGCGGGACTACCTTGGATCTTCGCGTGGACTGAAGGCATCCACCCAATCTATGGTCCAAAAGCTGCTGCTCTGGGATCTGCACACAGTGCAGAGTGTAGTATCAGCACAACCGACCCCATGTGCTGGTAAGTGCGTAGCCTAACTTCGGCGAAGTAATGACGAGGCTTGGACCAGACTACCAAATAAACCTGTGCAATTTAACCATATAGAGCGGAAAAGAAGAACAGTAATGTACAGTCAAGTATGGGAGGGGTAACATGCTACGGGGAACTATCAATTTAGAATAGAAAGACAACGGGTAATTAAAAGAAACAACATATCTCAGATATCAACAAAGAATCAGGAATCAATAAGTGCACGACATCACCCTTCATGATTTTACTCTCGTCCTAACCAAAGCAATCAAGTAATGAAAATGTACATGGCATCACCCTTCGTGATTTTACTCTCGTCCTCAGCATATAATCAATATAATTGACATGGAATTGTACATCGTGCGGCACGACATCACCCTTCGTGCTTTACACTCTTTCCTCACAAATCATACACGACATCACCCTTCGTGCTTTAACACTCTCTCACCAAACAATACACGACATCACCCTTCGTGCTTTAACACTCTTCCTCACCCAAATAATAATCACAAACAATAGGGCAAGGGAGTAAATGAAATTACAATAAGAATCCCGGCAAGGGAACAATAGTTCAACAATCAAGTTCCGGCAAGGGAACAACATCAAAAGAAACATCAACATCCTGGCAAGGGAGATAACATCAAAAACAACAATATCCCGGCAAGGGAGGCCACGTAATAATTCTCTTCTTTTTCTCACTGTTGCTTCACAACTCGCTTCACAACTTGAGCCAATGCTCTAAAAGGTTCAATTACGACTTATACTTTTACATTTCATTATTCAACTTGAGCCGATGCTCCTCGATGTTCAAATGTCACAATTACTTCCACAAACTTTGCCCAACAATAGAAATCATCACCAAAGCATGAATAATACAACGAAGTCATAATAATCACAATATATGACTCACGGGCATGTTTGACACCAACGTATAGATACTCGTCACCATGCCTATACGTCGTACTCAACAAATACCACATAGCAAATAGGACTCGACTCCTAATCCCTCAAGCTAAAGTTAGACCAAACACTTACCTCGATGCCACGAACACAATTCAAGTCTCTACTATCGCTTTACTTCTTGATTCCACCACCAATTCGCTCGTACCTAGCCACAAGTTACTTAATTACATCAATAAATGCTAAATGAATCAATTCTAATGAATGAAAATGAGTTTTCTAAAGTTTTACCCAAAAAGTCAAAAATCGCCCTCGGGCCCACATGGTCAAAACTGGAGGTTCGAACCAAAACCCGATTACCCATTCCACCACGAACTCAAATATATAATTTATTTTAAAATCGGACCTCAAATCGAGGTCCAAATCCCCAATTTTGAAAAACCTAGGTTCTATCCAAAACACCCAATTTCCGCAATGAAAATCATCGTTTTTGAGTTGAAATAATGTGAAAAGATGTTAATGATTGAAGAAAACGAGTTAAAATTGACTTACAATCGATTTGGAAGAAGAGTTATCTTTGAAAAATCGCCCAAGAGTGTTTTGATTTTGAAAGAGTGTGAAAAATGAAAGATTTTCGGCTAAGTTATAAAATTGCAGGTTGCAGATGTCGAAATTGCGATCAGAGTTCGCAATTGCGACCAGGGTTCGCAATTGCGAATACAGACTTCTGCTAAGCTTGCATTTGCGAAGTGACCCTCGTATTTGCGAACATACAATCGCATTTGCGATAACAGGCCCAAATGGGGAGTATCGCATTTGCGAGGAAGGGCTGGCCTAGGTTGTTTCGCATTTGCAACTCAGCCTTCGCATTTGCGTACTTGCATTTGTGATGCGAAGCTTGTAGGGCTGCAATGAAACAGCTGAAGCCTGCAATTTCTCAAGTCGGTTAGTAACGATTGTCTGTAACGACTCTTATTCGGTTAGTATTTTGACATAACAAGTTAAGAGATTTAAAATAGCTGCAATATATCCATGGATGTATCAAGCATTTATATTCTGATAGATGTTGAACCTTTCTCTAGGTTATACCTGCTAAATTATGACTTTGTGCTTGAGTATTTTACTTTGTATTTGATAGCAGCTCATTTTCTTAATACATTCTTCTGCTTGGTATTTGTTATGCACCCAATGGCTATTTGTGGATTATCTCTTACAAAAAGAGTGCAATTAGCACACTGCTTTTTCTTTCAGTCGACATCTTGGGATGCTAATTTCGGATTGTAATAGAAAGAAAGAAGGTCAATCAGTCTTGCGAACATGCATATCTGTCAGTCACATGGTTATCCCATGTAATGTAAACAGGTTTGTTCTTGGCTTTTGAATTTTAAAGATCTATAAAGTTTTCAAAATGGTACAAAAATTTCCCAACACAAGAAGTTATCTGCAAATTGTCTTCAAGAAAATATTTATTTTGATTGTTGAAATGCTACGCCTTTATTTTTTATATCTGTTACTTTCAGTTGAGGGCTTTAATTGACCTGAGAAACAAGTTGCTAACACCTCGATGTGTCAATAAACGAAGAAGAAAGACTGTCTATTTCAGTATTACGAGAGGAAAGAATGGTAGAACATTTATGTTACCAAATTAATGTCTCGCTTATAGATGCTGAGAAGTTAGCTGTGAATATGTTTCTTAATTTCAATTGTGAATACATTTCTTAATTTCATTTGTTCCAATTTTATTTGATCTAAATGTAAATCTAAGTTTAACCATAATATTTCTTAGCAATCTGATAGCACAAGTTTAAATTGTGAATATATTTCTTAATTTTATTTGTTCCAATTCTATTTGATCTAAATGTAAATATAAGTTCTAACCATAATAAGTAAAGATAAAGTTGTTTAAGAGGAAATACATTGATCCGTGTGTGTTGGAAAATTGTGGTGAAGTTCTAAAATCATTGAGCCCTTTAAATGTGGATACTGCTATATGAATGCTAGGTAAGTTAGTGCTACGGAGTTCAAAGCTGTTTTTTTTCTTCTTTTCTTCGTGTAATATGCATGATTGTTGTTGTTGTATGCAAGTTTGCTAGGAAGTGACTGACAATTGATCACATAGAATAACATTCTTTGCTTTTTGGTAAAGATAAAACCATACTCATTAAGATAGAACGTGTGTATAAGAAATTTCTCCACTGTCCTTTTACTATTTTGATGAGAGTGTCCTATTGTTTTCTGCTATCCTGTTATGTCTCTAAAGTTACCTTACATTTGTAACAGATACTTCAAATGTCTGAGGCTCAATATGTTTAAAATTTGACTATCAAAATCTACATGTAATATCATGTAAGTTTATTTTTCTTCGTTTGGATTTCAAATTCACTATCTTTTAAGTTTTTTGCCATAAACTTTCTATATTGGTTTGATGCCTTTATTTGTTCTTATCTATGAATATTTGTGTATGAATGGTAATTTTTTATTTTGAGGATAAGCAGAATCATTTCTTAATGAGTATCTGTTCATGGTCTTCTTATATATCACTAAGCTTATGAATGTCTTTCTTGTGAAAAGTATTACTACAATAAGATGAGAAAACTAAATTTAACTATATATTTGTGCGACAACATTAAACAAACAGATGTATTCATGTAAAATAAATTTGGAAGATGAGAAGGTTTCAAAAACTAAATAGGGAATTGATTACCCACACTACTTGACCAAAGCAAAGAATAGTGGTATAAACTTTCGTCAATAATGGTAAATTTGGTGCATTGCTAGATTGTCCAAGGAATGAACAATATATGGTTGATACACAACTTACCCAGAAGGACAAGTAGTGCAAGTCCCTCGAGCCATTAGCACATTTAGGCATTGTGTGGTGATGCCTGCTTGGAGGCATTTAGAATTTATATTAGGCAATATAGTAAGCTGCCACATAAAAATTTTCTGCTATTACATATTTGATAGAATTAACTGTGTAGTTCTGCGGAATACGGAAGGACAGCAAGAAGTTGCTTTGGTGGTCATGATGGTAACAACCATAAAAAACGATAGAACACTGAGTAGTGTCTCTATTGTAAGGTTGATGATAAAGAGAAGTCGCAAGCAACAACAATCTAATGTTAGCTTTTATATTGGTGGGTGATAGAATTTGGTGTGATGTCTTCTGTCATGTCTTTTTAAGATAAATGTGACAAAGTACTCGATCATGCAAAACAATTTTTTATGTACGGTATATAGCCAAGTGCATTATGTAGTAAACAATTTTTCATTTAGCACGCCCAATTTTGTTCTGTTTCTTCATTATTTTTAGTCAAGTTTATGCCTCTATATATATAGGGTTTTAGAATGTGAAGAAGATAAAAAAAATATTTCACCTCAACATTCGTTCTCCGTGTTAGGCCCGTGTTGTGCACGGGCAACACCAGTCTAGTATAACAATAAAAGTCAGTTAGAAAAATTATTTTGTATTGGTAAATATTTATCCATACCAGGTGTATATACCAACATGGGTAAAATATAATTAATTACTATTCATAACCATCTTAATTTATCACTAATCATACTAAATTAGTATAATTTGATGTAAACACTCGATAACTATAAAATTTTACCCCTTATAATTGGATGTGAATGAAATTAGGTGTAATAACACAATTTTGGACTACTTGTTCAGGAGGAGATGAGAATTCATATATAGTAATTACTTGGTGACTTTTCAATATGTTTGTTGTATGCTCTTTCTCTTCCATTTCAAATATTTGAGAATTGACAAAGATAATTTCGTGTTATACTAACTTTAATTCTATTCATTAATTAGTATAAATATTTATTGTTGGACAAAACTTTGTAAACTTATAATTATTTTTGTATTTTTAAAAAATACAACAAACTGTGAAATTTCATATTATATTCTCATGATTGGATTACATTGATTAATTCTACTATGAATTACCAATTTATAATTGTTTTTGTTTATTGAGATTTTTTACCCGCCTTCAACCCTTCACCTACTAGGATGGAGAGAAGTCCCAACCACTATGAACAAGGATGGCAAGTCCAATTTATAATTGTTTAATACAATATCTACGTATGAATAGACTACACACACGTACATTCATTTCTCAGCCATTAAAATTTCTTCACGTGATGGTCTATATTTTACTGAAAAGAGGACAAGATCCTAATTAAAGTGAATGAAAGGTTAGTCTTTTCTTTTACTTGTACCATTTAATTCACAATCTACTTTCATATAAGACACTTGATAGTAAGATGCTTCAAAGCAAATATTTGCACGCAAAGTCTTGTACTGTGAATGCTTAAGCACGTAAAGAGTACATGTATTCGGCTACCAAATACTAATAACCCTTAAAGAAGTTAGAGAAAGGCTAATTAAAAACGAACCGAATTATTTATTGTGTCGTAAAGACCTTCATGGCCATGCTCCACGGAGTCTTAGTGAACTCATACGATAATCTTTCTTTCATTTTTTGGTCCGAACTATTAGTTAAATTAGCTAGCAAAAAATCACGCGGATTGTCTCACAGACACAAGTATTCAAAACACTTCTATGATCACTAACATAGTTAAACTGTCTTCTTGAAGTTGGTGCACAAGTTTAAAGAGCTATCTATGAACTTCTCCATTTAAATATAACCGTCAATTGGTGACCATTATGTTCCCCAAGTAAAGTAAATAATGGAGTAGTATTTTCTTTACCTTTTCCCTAAATAAGATTTGCTAGCTTTTTGTCAAGTGAGCGATTTAATTTTTGCCCTCCAATTTCCACTACAATTCCTCTTCTTCCACAAAAAGCTATAAGTAGAACCGTTTGAATAACTAAATTAGTAGTAGCTAAAAGGGTGTGAATTCCATCCGTGGCTACTCTTTGGCTAGCCCCAGCAGTAGTTGTCCTGTTTTTTCTTCTTCTTTAACAACTGCAGAAGAAGTTCAGTAAGAAAAAGAAGAAACTTCCTCCAGGTCCAAAAAGACTTCCTCTTATTGGAACTCTACACATGATGGGTGAAAACCTTCACCAAGATCTTTATAAATTAGCCAATATTGGCCCAATTAAAGGTGAAGTTTTGAAGGCTGACAAAGGAACTCCAACATAGACCAGGTCCATCTTGTGAAGCACAGTTATGATCAACTTAAACATGTGAGATGCATGTGAAGGAGATAAACCTAACTTACCAGAAATGATATCTCCTGATCCTGATCGAAAATGTTGCATATTGGATAAGGAGAAAGACTACTTACACAAAGAGAAACACTGCTTAAGAAATGGATAGAGTTAGAGGAGGAGACCAACTAGAACTCTTTCACCAAGGAAGAGTAACATCTATATTCTAGTCAATCTCTTTTTACTAACTCCATAAATATCAGTGTTGTTCTCTTTTACAGGTAATGCACATAAGCAGAAGTTAAACGTGAATTGAGAGCAAAATAGCAACGCAATTTTGCAAGCAATTTATGTGTGATTCAAGTGTGCAATCCTGAAGCTACTTGAACCAGATAGAAGAACCAGTTCCAAGCGTCTGTCTTTTTATTCTAGTTCAATTGTAGTAGGTATTTTAATATTGTACCTTTCAGCTTTATCTAGAAGCAACTGTATTAGGTACTTCGAGTTTTCAAGTTAGAGTTAACTTGAAGTTGTCGCAACAGTTGAGGCTGTGTGCTACAACTGGATTAGTGTTAATCCTATGTGTACAAAAGAGTTTTTGTAAATGCAATTTTTGGCTCAGTGATTTTAGTAGAGAGTTTAGAAAAATCCTACTGGAAGGTAGGTCGTGGTTTATTCACCTTTTGAGCCAGGTGTTTTACACGTAAAATTTCTGTGTTCTTTAATTTCTATATTTATTATTTCACAACAGTAGTAGTTGGAACACATAGAAGAACCAAGTCCTTCTATAATTAGGTTAAACGAAATATTGGGCACCACAAAAAGCACCCCCCTCTTGTTTGGTATTGAAGTATAGAACATCAATTGGTATCAAAGCAGGTTACCCTTGAAGAGGCTAACACCTTAGGTATAGATCAAGATGAGTGCACCACCTGAAAACTGGGAAGGACAATCCATTGCTAGGCCTCCACTCTTTAATGGCCAGTACTATTCCTGGTGGAAGAATAGGATGAGAGACCACATCATAGGAGAAGATTATGAACTTTGCGACATTGTTACTAATGGTCCCCTGGCTATTACAAAGAATAATGCTGAAGGAGTGGATGTGCCAAAGACTAGAGCTGACTGTACTGTTGAAGATTTGAAGAAGTGGGAAAAGAATGTCAAGGCCAAAAAATGGCTTATGTGTGGACTAGGTCCAGACGAGTACATCAGAACTCAAAGCTGTACTACTGCTAAGGAGATCTGGGACACTCTACAAGTGGCCCATGAAGGAACTCCCTCAAGTAAAGAGATCAAGAGGAACACTGTTGTATTCTCAATATGAAAATTTTACCATGATGGAAGGAGAAACCATCCAAGAGATGTACACAAGGTTCACAACACTAACAAATGAACTTAAGTCTTTTGGAAAAATTATCCTTGAAGAAGACAAGGTTGAGAAAATCTTGACAAGGGTCTTGCCATTAACTTGGGAAAGCAAAATCACTACTATTCAGGAATCAAAAAACATTGCTACTCTTAAGTTAAATGAGTTGGTTGGAAATCTTACTGCCTATGAACTGAGAAGGCAAACCATGAAGATGGATGCACCCAAGAAGGAAAGAAGCCTGGCTCTCAGAATAGCTGAAGGTGCAGACTTAGAGGATGATTAAATGGCTATGATCACAAGGGATTTCAAGAAGTACGTAATGAGAGGAAAAGGGTTTTTCAAGAGGCGCAACCTTCAATAAACCAAGGGCATCCTGAAAAACAGACCAACGTGGGCTGCCACAAATGTGGTAAGACTGACCATATGATATAGGGCATGTACTATGATGAGACCTTTGCTCCAGTTACAAGACTGGAGGCAATAAGACTCCTCATAACCTTTGCAGTACACATGGAATTAACCCTTCACCAGATGGATGTGAAGAGTGTCTTTCTAAATGGCTACTTAAAGGAAGAAGTCTTTGTCAAACAACCTCCAAGGTTTGAAAATAAGGAGTGTCCATATCATGTATACAAACTAGACAATGCCCTATATGGACTCAAGCAGGCTCCTAAAGCATGGTATGAATGCCTATCCAAATTCCTGCTTGGACATGGATACAAAAGAGGTAATATTGACAATATTCTATTCTTGAGGGAAAAAGGTAAGGATCTTGTGATGACCCAAAAGGTCATCACATGTTTTAGAAATAAATTCTATGTTTCGAGGTCTTAAAACCTCTTTTTTGTCTCACCTCGATTTGCGTGCACAATCCGGGCATGTATCCTGAAAGCCATTATGTGAAAATCTGTGAAAAATGATGAATTTTGCTTTTAAAATAAATTTAGGTTGACTTCGGTCAAAATTTTAGGTAAACAGATTTGGAAGGAAAATATGGGACTTAGGCGTATGCCCGAAATCAAATTTCGAGGTCCCAAGCCCGAGAAATGAATTTTTGAAGAAAATTGTTTAATTGAAATTGTTGAGTTTTTGGAAAAATTGAATGTAATTGAATTTTATGGTATCGGGCCCGTATTTTGGTTCCAGAGCACGATATAGGTCTTATATGTGATTTAAGTCGAGCCTGTAAAATTTGGTAGGAAACAGACTTGAAATGACGTGAATTGGACCTTCGATTGTTAAAATTTGAACTTAAGAGTTCATGAGATTTTTATTTAATTTTGATGCTAAATTTATAGTTATTAACGTTATTTTGATGATTTGACCGCACGAGCAAGTCCGTATGATGTTTTTGGACTTGCGTACATGTTTGGTTTGGAGCCCCAAGGGCTCGGGTGAGTTTTCGATAGGCCACGGAGTGAAATTTGGACTTAGGAAATTGCTGGTATGTTACAGGTCTACAGGCTTCGCAATGGCTCGCAAATGCAAAATAGTATCGCAAATGCGAAAAATGACCAGAGCTGCCTTGGTCGCAAATGCGACGTGTATATCGAAATGTGATATCGCATTCGTGAAGGTTCCCTCGCAAATGCGAAGGGGACCCGATTCCTTCAGTGTCGCAAATGCGACAAAAACTTCACATTTGCTAAGTCAACAGTTTCTGAGGGGTTCGCAATTTCAAACCCTGGTCGCAATTGCGACATCTGCAACCTGCTAAATCATAACTTAGATGCATTTTTAGCCATTTTTCAAACCTTTTCAAAACATAAACACCTTTGGACGATTTTTCAAAGACAAGTACTCTTCCAA